AGAAAAAAAGCTTGTTTTTACTAATCAATATCAACAGAGTGTACAAAAATGACCGACAATTTGAAAAATAAATTATATAAAGACAGGAGAATTTACGGGTTACTGCGTTCATCTTAGGAAACTAAGTTGCATTTTCAACGTGAACTAATATTAGTTTCAAACGTAACTACCAGATGGCACCTTAAATGAGAAAACTGTAACAAGCTGGCGCACAGTCAGAGGACAAAAATTACAAACACCTATTCAAATAATTCAGTTGAAATGATCTGACATGCAACAGAAAATTTTTTTTCATTGTTTTTCCATTCATCATAGCAATGTGTTGTTGTAACTGATTTTGAAACTTAGAGAGAGCAAAATAATTGGCTAAGCCGAACGCAGCAAGCCGCACATTTCTATTTCATTCCGTTTTTCTTTTCCAAAATCGTTGGACATTTTTGGAATGAAAACACAATGTGCCAGAAATACAGATAAAATATAAAACTTATAGACATTTATAGTGGAAAAAAAAAGGAATTCTAGGTATGCTTGAATGATACGAGAGACGAAAATGTTTCTTTCATTTTCCAAAAAGTAAGCTTTAAAGAAACTAAAAAAATAAGCAAAAAATCAATCAGTGTGTCACAAGTCTGATCTATTTTTGTAAACTTTTATCGATATGATTATGGTGTATTTTCTTATGCAGTTATACATAAAGTAGGTGTAATAAAAATAAAGCAATACAGTTTTACAAAAAATAGAGACTTTTTCATAATGATTCAAGTCCATTAAAAAGCCTTCACATGCTTGCGAAGACTTTATATTTATGTTTAAATAATCATGCTTTATATTTAAATAATCTTTCTATATTAGAATAAAGAATCTCCGGATTTCCTTCATAGTTTTAAGCTTCATAGAAATGTGTGATTGAGAGAAAAACATATTTACAAACATGTACATGTTTATATAACGCAGATTAATCAAAACGCGCATAAATAAAGCAGCGCAGTGTACACCTTTTATTTTTACATAGACATTTAGCAAAGAAAAGAATCGCGTTTACGTCAGAAGAAACTACACGCATACTTGTATTAGATGCAAAATGTTACCCTCTCATTCATAATGCAACCTTGCAAATTCAGCTTGAAGATTTTTGTAAACAGTGTAATCTGAATAAAATTATATTTTATATGAAAAAATATCGTGAATGTACTGCCAAAAATGACCAAATCATTGACTGGGAAACAGGAGATCGTGTGGTCCAAATCGTTTAAATGCCTATATTATTAAAATTTTTTTTTGGGGGGGGGGGGGAAGGCTTATTATATACCAATTGACATAGGCTAAAAATGAATGAAGTCTACTAGATCAAAATCTCAACTTCTAATCGAGCTGAATATCAGTTATATGTACAGCATAACACATTTGACTCGGCCACTTTTGTCAGTCTACTCGCAATATTTCTCTATATTGACATGAAAAAAAAATATTTACGAATCTTTGAATGCTAAATGACGTAGTAGTTCCCATCTACGAGTAGCTCTTGGTGAACCATTTCCAATTAAATTATACAAAAAAAAAATCTTCTTCAATTAAAAGGTTATTTTTCAGATTTTGATACATTTTTCGAAAAAGGAAAGAAAAAAGACTAGTTAAATATGAGTTTGTGACCCTGATGAATCATAGAGAAGTAGAAATAGCTTTAAAAAAATTCAATTCCTGTTTTTTTTTTTTTTTTGAGAAAGTACTACAAGAGCATTTCAATAAAAATAATTAGTGTTTCAAAAAATACCAAGTCATTCAGAACAATTCAAATTTGTTGAAATTATTCATTTTACTTGATTTTTTTTTAAAGATTTACTCATGGAAACATTACAACAGACTCTTAACAAACAATGCAAATTATCACCAAATATACACATTTTAAATTGTTAATATATCTTTGCCACATGCTAAATATAAAGAAATTGTAGATCATAAATTTTGAGGCTTGTCAAACGATAAGTAAAAATATCAACGTAAAAGAAAGGGATTTCATGTAAGAACACGCATAAAGAGATGGAACGCTTTCCTTTTCTTTAAAAAAATATTTTTCAAAGAAAAATAAAAGTTTTTATTTCTTCCTGCATTTGAAACCAAAGAGACGAATTCTACAGAAAACGCTTCTCGCCGACAGTGATTTTCACTTTTGTCAGCAATGCGTCAAAATGCCAGAAATGGAATGCAAAGTGGAAAGGATTTTCCGTCATAGCTTAAAATTCAATTACCGCTCTCTCAGTGCGCTATTCGAAACGTCAAAACACTGGGAAAGATCTCCGAAATTCCAGTTTAATCCCTGGTGGAACTTTTCATCGAGTCAGGCCTTCCAGTAGAGGGACTCAATCAGATGTCATATTAAAAGGCGTTGTCCTATTCCCAATATAAAGCTTAGAAAAATTTTTGAGTCCAATATATAGATATATATAGGGCAGTTATTGACGAGACATATTTTTCCTGGCTTTCTAAATTAAAAGCTTCGGGCCATCGGGAATTGGAGCTTATTTCGAACGTGGAAACTCTCAGAGGAACGCTGAAAAGACGAACTGGTTCACTTAAAATGGTGCCTTAATAAATTGAATTTGGAGAGGATGCTCAATTTTCAATCAGAAAATAAAAATCTCAATGTATTAAAGGGGGGGAAAAGACATATTTACTTATAAAACAAAAAATATCTATATTTAATACTAAAATCAAAAACAACAACCAATTTTTAGAATTTATTTCGTGAAGAATAAAATATTTGTAAGCTTTGCTTTATCCTTGGAAACAAATATCTACCTTATTCTTTACGTTTGGATAGATTTTTGAAAATCCAGGTCATGATTAGGGGTGGTCACCAGTATGAGTGGTCACGTGATTGTGAAGATGTTGCTCATTTTCGAAAGCAAAAACTGCAACTCCGAAACGATTCTATTTTGAAAAGGAGTGATATTTTAAGGTGTACATTCTCTTGCATGGCGGCTCATTACAAAATTAAGAAGCCATAGTCTTTTCTCTAATATCATCCCTATTTTATTTATTTTTTAACAACCATTTTTAAACTGCTGACTCAATTTTTGACTTTACGGCTACTAATGTTCAACCTTTCATGGTTCACTCCGGTACAAAAAGTTATTTTTTTTATAACGGTCGTTGAACAGCCGACCCAATTTTGGGTATACGACTACTACTGTTCAACTCCGTAACCTTGTAATTTTGAATCCAATCCAGCAGACAAAGTAGAAAACGCCCTAAGCAGCTGAGAATCCAAAAGGAATTGAAATAAAAGAAGCAGCAATGAAAAGAAACATTGTTTCTTTTGTTTCTTATCTGAATAGACGCAACTGATAAACTTATCTGATAACGCAACTGAATAGATTCAACAACAGTACCTCAATACAGCATACTTATAGAATGTAATTCAGAGACTGTTCGTTAAAAAAGCATAACTACACGAGGTACACAGTTTCACTAAATTTCCCGTGTTAACACCCAATTCCAGAAAGTAATACGGGTTCAACCCGTAAAACTGCCACTATGTAAGAAGCACACAAGTCAACTTAAATAGTGCAGTAGGTGTCGGTATTGAGTCTGCCATGAATTTGAACTAAAGGTCCTAGTCCATACCTGGAGAAACTGTCCCAGACTATAATTCCACCTCCACCGATTTACTTATATATATATATTCCTATTTTATATCCTTTATATTCAAGCCATTTTTCTTATAAACCTGCGTTCCATACATGACTTGAAAATGAATGCATTTCATCAGCATCTTTCCTCGAATTAAAATACTTACATTCTTAAGGAATATGATGGATACATTTTAATATCTTTCAAATATCTTTATATGCTAAACCGAGTAGTTTTCGTAGGTTGTCAATTTCTCTCCACTTACTTATCAACTAGCACAATCAAATTAATGTCTCGAAATAAACCACCTAAAATAGTTAATGAAAGCCAAAATAAAATCATCAGCACTTAATGAGATTATGTACAAGGGAATAAATGCTCAGAGAATAGAAATAAATCTCAAAAACATATTAGAAGATCAGAGCCATAAATATTCATGCAAAGATTTCCACGTGTGTTCTGAATATTTATGAACTGATGCATCTTTTCAGGAATTAATGTATTCCAATGGAGGACAGGCAACTCAAGACAAAAGAATGCGAGAGGCATTAATACAGAAAGCTTTTCAGACACATTCCCAAGAAATAAAAGTGTCGAAGCACAGCCATTCCAGCCACCGATTGTAACAAATGAAGTTAGATTCTTTAGAAGCGAGGGGAATTCCAGGTATGCCGGCGCCAAATTGGCGCTCAAGCATCTTCCCCTTTCCAAGTAATGCGACAAAGAAGGCATTCTTACTATGGATGCAGTTGTAGTTACACTTGATTTTGTAAGAAAATAAATAAGCTTAGAGAATTGTTGAAATAAGAAACTCAGATTTTACCAACGTTCTTACAAGTGTAACAGTGCTGAAATTACTTTATAATTAACCTATTTTTGAAATATATTACACATATTTTTGACCGAAAGATTTGGTTTTGATCTAAAATTATCAAAACATGGCTTAACATAAATATACCAGCATCTATTATTTGAAAATAGAAGGCGGATAAGCCAAATTTATAAAAAGGTTTTTTTTAAAAAAATATCTGAAACCGGCATATTATAGACGCTTTTCAAGTCAGTACTACCTGGAAAAAAAACTCAAATAGTGTAAGTTCTACTTCATTCTTGCATTAGTTTTGATAACTTGGACGTTTTTTATTGAACTCACTACGTGCCAACGGAGTGCAAATATACCTAAAGCCCTAAAGCCAACACGCAATTTAAGAAAATGGACTAATCCATGAGCATTTTTAGAATATGACAATTTTCTATTATATTTAAATAAAAAAAATATGATGTTTTAAAATCTCAATTAATTTCAGCATTTAATATATTAATAGAAAACTGATATTTACAACTTGGAAAAAAAAAATTCATTAACTTACCAGTTGGTTTTGTTGGCAATGCCTTAGCGACGGAAACTGAAAGGCTCTTATCACTCTGGCTCTCACTCTCTAGTTTGTCATGTGTAACGGAAGACGACAATTGGCTTAGATTGGAAGCTGGTTGAGACAGTCTCTCTGGAACAGATATGGACCCGTTCACAGAAGGCCTTAGGACGTTGGGTTTGAACTCCCATGGCGGATCGTACTCTTCTGATGGCCGAAGGTCATTATCTGGACTTTGAGGCACATTGTCTAGAGGTCGGACATCGGCAAAGAGACTTGAAGGTCTCGTGACTTTACGTCGAACGTCTTCATTACTTGGGATATTCTGCACGTTATTTTCTTTCAGCTCAGGATCCAAAGCCTGGTTCTGCGAAACTGAAGAATCGGAGTTAACTTTATTTTTAGATTTTCCTAGGCGAGTGTTATCTGTGGGTAGCACCTATGATAAGTAAGGAACAGCATATTATATATTATTATAGAATATATTACATATATTCTAATATGATAGATATGCATAGATAATAGATGCAGATAGATGATAGATACATCATATTTAAAATAAATAAAATAAGAACTAACTTTATAAGTAAAAGCTTGCGCATATGTGTTATAAAATGACCGAGAAATTTTAGCTCTAAATGCATTTTTCATTTTATTTATTTTTTTTCCAACTGAAATTCTTATTTATTAAGAAGGCTTGTTGCAATTCTGTAAGAAACAAATCAGCTAGCAAGTTTCGTGCGAAATTCGGATTAAATGAATCGTCAGATAATTTTTTTTTTCGCTTTTGAGTCGTGCCCTGTTTAAAGGACAATAATTAGCGATCTATATCGATTAATGAACTTCTTTGGAAGGTTGGAGGCTAAGATTCAGCCATATTTGTGCCAAATTTCACCAAAAGTACACAATTTTAAGAGCAAAGCTAAGGAACGTTACAACTATATTTGCTTTCCATTATATTATTGCTTACAAAAATAATAATAAAAACTCCAATTGCATTTGGATAGGAATTTAACATCGTTAACTGCATACACTATTTAAGATTTTTATTAGATTTTTGAAAATCAACCTTTTACGTTAAGTTCAAAATTTTCGCTCTTAATCGGACACTCTGTATAACATAACGTAATATTTAGTTAAAACAACAAGCAGGAAATAAATATTTACGTAAAACTATGTATTCATGAGTTACAAAATACGATTTATTTAAAGAAAAAAGAAATCAAATATTGAATTTGGAAACAAAAAATGCACATATGAAACATAAAAGCAGACTTATTTGAAGTGTGAATGCAAACAGCAGTTTCACATTAAGTGGTTTCAATGATAAATGTTGATAGATGATATGGATGGGTTTTTTTTGTCTATCGATGGTATAAATAACTCCAAAGGGCTAAAGTTATTAAAGATTAAAGTGAAAAGAAACAGGACATATTGAACTTAACTCATATTGAATTGAAGGCTAGCACTGGGAATGACTGAAGGCTAACATTGGGATTAACTCATTAAGTTTGTGAAAGTTAGATATGGAAATATATAACCAAAACAACTTTATTTGACACTCATTAATTTACCATTTTAACCAGCTAACCGCATAAAAAATTAATTTCACGTACAAATTACTCTATGAAGTCTTTTTCGTATTAACCCAAAAACAATTATTAATATTAAAAAACTAATAACTTTAAAAATTTTCTGAAAAGTACATTAAAGGGATTCTATACAAGTTAAATATAAACATTTGAGTAACATTTATGTAGTTGTCATTATCAAGACCCTTTAGTGTAGAGATGATATTTTTCTGAAATTAACCTTCTCATAGACAAAACAGATAATTGAGAGAAAGAAGTAAGCAAGAACTTAATTTAGAACAAATAATAAAATCAGGTATGTCCCTATTATGCCTAAAATCGAATATATTTCAAGATAGAAGACGAACAAGAACTAATTCAGGAGAAAAGTTTGAGAGTCTAAGCATACCTTAACTCCTGAGTGAACACCAATGGGTTTCTTAGAAACAAAAGAGGTCGAATCATTTTGAGCATCTTCTTTCTGTAACACATTATCTTGGTCATTTTTTTGAAAGTCATTAGAATTTTCCAGCCTAGCATTTGATAATTCCTTCCAATTACTAGGATAGTTAGCAGTTAAGTTCCTTCGATCGTCCCTAAATAATAGATTATCACGACTGGAACTTTTGCCAAGAATAAAGTTCCTTTGCTGTTCATTTTTAGAATTATTCGAAGACAGTAAAAACTCCTCTTTAGGATCAACAACGTTCATTGACTCTTGACTGGAGCTCTTATCGGAAGAACATCGCGAAACATTGTCCCACTGATTGTTAAACGAAACGATTTTGCGTTCATAACATGTATTCACTATTTTAGCCCCGTTCCTGTTCAACTCTTTCGTCAGTGGTTCAACATTAGACACAACATTCAGGACTCTTGCTTGAGGTGACAGTGACCTGACAGGAAGATGATCGCGAATGAGGGTCACTTTTCTTCTCTCTGTGGGTGTGAAATGCAGAGGTAGATGCCTCTGACGAGGTGAATCTCTCGCAATGACCATTGGTTGGTGAGTTGGCGTACTAGATGCGGAACTACCGCTGGTAGAACCAAACGATGACCTAGATGCCGCTCTAACAACAGGACCATTTTCCCCTGTCGTTCGATTATGGAACAAATCACCCTGTAGAACTGGACTCTGCATAAGCCTGTCCAGGTCCTCTGCATCCCTTTTCACCCTGCTATCAAAAGCTGTTTCGTAAAGCCTCCTCTGTCTGGCTGTCATCTCGTCCTCGTCAAGTCCAGATTCGGAATCTGAGAGTAAAGATTCGCTCGACGCACCACCTGCTGGCTCTGAGAAAGTTCTCTCGTCCTCTAAGGATAGAGCTCCTGGTGAGGACGGCGTCACTTGAAGGCTGCTTGTAAGTCTGGCGCCCACACTCCATTCCCATGGCTCATCGTATTCTTGGCCAGGACGGATGCTGTCAATGGGCGTGGTACCCAAGCACTCATCATCTTCGTTGAAATCATCCGGAACTACATCGTAGGTATCTTCGACTGAATCAGTTTTTGAATCATCAGCATCCACTGAACGACCTACAAAAAGAAAAGAAAAACATCAACATCAAAATTGCTTAAATTTCAAACATATCACACATGGAATACTAGAATAAAAATATGTTTCTCTAGAATAATAAAATATTTACTTCAATACCATACTAACTATACTGATTAAACTTAGAAAAATAAAAATAAATTTTGTATTCTAAAGTATAAGAAAACACATAATATTTGCCTTTATTTAAGAGGCGTGAAGTAAAATTGCCAAGTAGCAACGGCCATAAAGATACATTTCACTAACGCACGAAGTCTTCATCGTTTGAAGAATGGGATAGAATAGATTGCGAAATGTTTTCACTTTATCTCTCAGAATTCTCACAAAATCGAAGGAAAAGAATAAGCACCAAAGTGACGTCAGAATTTATTTCCCAACAATAGAAGCTCCCCACACCATAAGTCCCCCTCCACTCTTTATTGAACAAGATAGATACTAGAAAACTGTGTCTGTCCCAAGTGGGAGCCTCATCCGATAGAAGAACAGGCAGCAGCGTCATTAGTCAAAAGCCAGACCCTGAAGTTTGTCAAGCAAAGAAAAGTCTAACGACGTTCCCTTTCTTGTCGACACAGAGATCCAACGTGAGCTTTAATGACTGCTTTTCCAGACAGGCGTTCCAAGAAGAAGGTCTTTTGAGCCTGGGTAAACAGGCACAAAGTAACATCTTTCGATACGTTTGCCAAAGGAGAACAGATAGGGATGGGAGAAGAATATGGGATTATTCTCGAACTCTCAAGAAATAGAAATAAATACTTCAAAGAAATTCAAAGTTTTATCACGGTCAAACATTTTGAATTATATTGCGGAAAAAATAACAAACATTAATAGAAGAGTCTTCAGAAACTTAAAGTTGAAAAGTCAATATTTAACTATTTCAAAAAACACAAAAAAAAGTTTTAAAAGAAGTCATAGACATTTTGATAAGTCACATGTTTCAAGTATTCTTGCTACAAAAAAATATATTGACTTCTATTATTCGGCTATTCGCTATTACAAGCTAGAATTACTTTTCGTTATTTTCATATTCAGTTCAGTAATTCAGTAGAAAATAATAATAAACTTTTGTTTGGTTCTTGTTCAATAATTTAATCATTTAAATTTTAAAACTTTTAACAACATGAGGTATTACTTCGGGGCGAAAATAATTAAATAGGTCAAGTGGTAATTCAATTTAGAAAAACGGCATTTAAAAGCTTACTAAACATTATGTCAAAAACCTACCTAAGAAAATATTTACTTTGGCAAGTTAATAATTTATATTTACATCTGGATACAACAAGCACTCTAAGCTTTAGTGTTTCATAAATGCCACATATCAAGTTCTTTTATCGCAAATCTTCAATTCAGTATTTTAAAAAAGGATAATAAACAAAATTAAGATAGCGATACCATTTAAACCTTTTTCATAATCTTATTCACCAATATCACAATATTTTACTAGCTAGAATCGCTTAAAATGCTCAGGATATAATTAAGAAAAAATTTTTGTTAGTCCCGTTTTTATTGCTTGAATCTACTAGCAAAAGTGAAACACAGGATTTCACAATAAGTTTTGAAATCTTTTTAAAAAATACACAAAAATAACTTAAATAAGTTGTAGTTCCCAATTAGAGCATTCATTATTTTGTTTGAAAAATATCACGTAATTGTAGATTGATAAAATATTTGAAATTTCTGGTACCGAATTAATCTTTTTTAACCTCAAACCAACACACAGTGTGATACCATATAATAACATGAAAAAATGTTTTGAAAATATTCGTCTTTCTGATATAACTATATAAATTTAGCTAGATATAGTTCAACTCTCCATTTTTAAATATATAATTGTTCATAGTAAACTCGTTTTTCCTCGATTACATGCACCTACAAAATTTAATTTTATTTATAATTTTATAAAATGAAAGTTTAATGATAAAAATGTAATTTGAAGTTCTCAAAACTAACTTTGCAGTCTATTCTATATTTATAAAACCTATACTTATCTATATCTAAAGAAAATAAACCTATTTCTAAACACAAGTTTTCTATTTGAATTCAAATTAATAAATTAATTAATTGATGTTTAAGGAAATGTTATTTACCCAAGGAAATAAAATTATCAACAATAAAAATGCATCGTGTATAATTTAAAAATCTACAGTCTTTACTTGAATAAATTAAAAAACACAGAACTTTTTGACAGCAATTTTGTAAAAAAATTAATTAACTTAATTAATCAAAGTTTAATTAACTTGAAACAATAGTTACCTTTTTTATTTCTAAAATAGCAATGAAAATTAATAAAACATAATCAAAGCACTGCTCGTTTCTTTTTAATCCCCTGATAATACAGAGCTTTAATAGCTTATAGAAAAACTCTATAGTATTTGTTCCATAATTATCAAAACAAAAGTTCGAGTAGTAAAAGAACAAAACCTTAAAGCATTCTCGAACAAAACAGTTTTTTTAAATTTTTTTCATATAACCACGTATTTTTTTGTTTCAAAACCAAGGATGTTTTTAATTAAGAAAGACAAATTTAATTGCCGTCAGGGGTGCATTGGACTCAAGGATTTACTTTTAAATAAAGACTAACTTCCCTGCAAATGTCGCCAAGGCAAGAAAACTCATTTAGATTCGAAGATAAAAACCACCGACCTAAAACAAAAGGAAACTCAACTCCATAAAACAATAGAAAGGCGAGCAGAGTTTTAACCGTGGTTAATTCTTAAGAGAAATACGCAAATGAAGAGGCAAAATCATTAGGAAAAAAATTTCTCCCGCCCATGAAGCTGCCTAGAGCCATCAGCACTAATTACTTTCGGTTAGAAACGACAGGGGTTAAGTGGGGTGATGCATTAAAAGAATGCGAGTTGTCCATTAAATGCACAGCATGAAAACTGGTAACAAAAAAAAAACACCCATCCACAAAAGTAGATCTTCCATTTCTTCAATGAAACATCAACAATTTAGAAGACGAATTTTCCAGTTTAATAGTGGACCTAAACTTCTTTTCGATATAATTACACCATGGCGTGTAAAAATGGCGCTACAGAAAAGGTTTTTAAAGAAAGATGAATAGATTTCCAACAAGGTACGTCTTCTGGAAAGTTCTCTTTAGGTTCTCTAATGAGAAGTCCGGTTCTTTTCCAAATGGTCATTAACCAGGGATTCAGTGAGATCTTTAGCGCACAATTAGAGAGTTCCTGCTCCAGAAAAAGAGATTTTAGAAGGATATTTAGGACTGAACTTGCTGAGTAATGTCAGTGTTATTTTATTCCTTAGGATCAGAGAAAAACAGTCAGATTAAAGAAGGTAATCAAATTCAGAAAAAAGCAAATGCGTATTAAGGAATTTCTTCTTCCATTTATTTTATGGTTCAAAAATAAGGTAACGATAACAATCTAAAATCATTTTCAGAATATAAAAGATATTATTTTGCGCATCAGTTGGTGGGAGTGTTTTACTCCATAAAAATCTAAACAAATTTCAAAATGATTCATTGTTATAGTAAATAAATCATAAATTAACGAATTTAAATTATTCACGCAAGATGAGTGGTTAAAAAACCATTGTAACAAAAAAAAAATCAATGATAAAAATGACACTTTAAACTCTCTTATATGCGTATTGTCTAGATAACGTTCAAAATGCATCAAAAACTTGTTTAATTGTTATTTAGACTAGGGGGTCGAGATTTCAATATTTTAGCCTCAAAGGCATCTACGACACCGTAAAAGGAAAAATAAGAGCTCAAAAATTCAAAGAATAGCTGAATATTTTACTTATTTACAACCTGCGTGATTTGTGTGCATATGTCTACATGCATGCATCATTTGTACATGTTTTTAGAATTACAGCACTTTCTGTTGGCAATATTTTACACTAAATGTTTTTCCAACTAAACTTTAACCTATGATCTAAATAACATATATTTGAACTATCGTTCAGATCCGTTAGGCTGAACCGAAAAGAGGAGCCTCCTGGATAACCTTTTTTTTAAACTTCAATCACCCTGTAAGACAGCTTTTCAATATCTTAAAGCTGCTAATGTTGCATTAGACTAAATAAGATTTAAACATGAAAAAAACTATAATATAAATGGTATTCAACTAAACGAAATAAAAATTATTAATCTGTTTGTGTGAATAAATATTAAAACAATAGTCAAAGAGCACCCCAAAGAAGAAAACAAAACGGGCATAACAAAGGGTGATTCAAATTTTCATTACTTAAACTTATTTTTTAACTTAAAATCTACTCGAAAAAGAAAAAAAGAAATCTTTTCATTAGAATGTAAGACAGCAGTTCTAAATTTTATCGATGCACTTCGAATCAGCAAAAAAAAAAAAAAGTTTCCTGACTTTCGAAGATGCACTTATGTGTTGTTCGAACTCTCCCTGAGAAGCGACAAAAGCTTCAACGAATAATCGTTGGAGCGAGTAACGAAAGTTAAGTGCAATTTTGTGAAACTTCAACGTTTTGGCGTGTCTCACACTTTCGAGAAGTGGGGGCCCCGAGGGATCCAAACATCTCACACTCATCGATCTCTGCAAGAAAAGCGTAAAAAGGATTGATGAAGCGATGCTGCTAAGTCATCGCAATAGAAAAAGAAATATCATTTTCAAAAAGAAAAAATAAGTGTTTGAAGAATAATACTTAGGATGAGCATAAAAGAAATTAACTTTGTAAGTTTATTATATAAATTTTTTTTAGTCATAAATAACAATTCCAAAATAAAATAAATAAAGTATAAAACATCATTAATCGTAAATTGTTTTATGTAAAGTTTTTATACCACATAGACATTATTTTCATGTTGAATAAAGACTTTATTTAGCTTAGGGTTAAATCGTCGTACAAGAAACAATTTAATGTATTATAATTTGTATAGATATTCCTTACTTTAACCTTCATTTTTGTCCACTAATTTGCCAATTTTTTTTCCTACTCTAACGCAATAAAAGGATTCTGATCTGAAGAATCTTCAGCCTCAATA